GGCGGTGCAAAGTCGTCGAAGCCAAGCATAAAGGAATAACAAATGAACCCAGAGCATCATCAAATGGGCCCGCGCAGCGCCGTCGAACGTGACTACATTCTTGCATTCAAATCACATCGTTGCCGCGCGCTCTCGTCCGAGTCGGGGCGATCCCGCGTTCGTCAGACGCGGTTCCCGTCGGTTTGGCGACCGGGTTTATCTATCGTCAACAAACTGCACGTTGTATCGGCCGATCGATGGGCTATCGGAGCTATAATACCCCTCCCCGCCGACACCTTCCTCCCGCGAGCCCGCGCGAGGAATACTTTTATTTTATTTCCGACTCCGAGCGCTTTGTGCTTGTTTTTATTGGATCAAATTTGGTCGGGATCCCCACCCCGTGACCGACGAAAGACTTTGATATCCATCCAAGTTCCTAACGTGAACCATAATCATCCCCATCGCTCCGATAATGGCAGGAGAAAAGTTCTATGGATTGACATTTACTCAATAGTGACATTACAAATTGTGATGCGCGGCACAAACGTAATGATACTCCATACAATTGATTTTCGGCCAGGAACAAGTACAATACGAAGCAACAGAAGAACAGAACAAGAAGAAGAGTTAATAACAGTAATAACAACAAAATAAGCAACAAGTTATCTACTTCGTAACTGTAACGGTCAAAGTACGGAGCAACAAGCATTCATGGTGTTTTGGCAAAAATATATACGTCTTTTATTTGACGGAGACTTAAACGCCTGGTTAGAAAAATGTACACGCGTCAATATTGCGTCTCTCCCGACTGGAAACATTCAAACAAGAACAATTAAGTTCAAAGTAGTCAAAGAAGGGGAAAAAACAAGTTGATTTATATTGTGAGAAGCCAACATGTTGATTTTTAAATTCCCACAACTTGACCCTTTATGATCAAACTTACCTATTTCATAAACAGTAAATGGTGAATCCAGGTGGAAGGAACCAGGGTCGGACTGGTGGTAAAGGCCTGGATGGCGTAGACTTCTAAAAGGTGCGAGTCCCACACCGGGGGATGTAGGGCTAGGGGGGGGGGGGGTATTAACGAATTTTGGACTTCAATTGTTAGACGTAAACTTCGTAGATATGACTTTAGATCTTGCCAGTTTGTCCTCAGTTTTAAATTAAGTGTAGGGAACACGAGCTATCACTTGGCCGCATAGTGGTATCACTCTCAGATGATACGGTTGCTCGTGGAGGAAAGCAGAAATAATTTACCGGGCACGGTGGCTTAAGGAGCGGGTACTTTACCTCGCGGTCAGTTTTCCTTCAATTTTCAGTGTAGGCAACCCGAGCTCTCACGTGGTCGAATAGTGGTATCACTCTGAGAGGTCATGATTGCTTGAGCAAGACAGTGGGAAAATGAGTAGATGAGATATTTTGACCACAACTGTTGACAGATTGTGCAAATAAATACTTATTTATTCATGTGACTTGAACTGCAGAAGAGAATTGAGAGAAGTTCGCTTCCTTCATAAATTTACTAAATTTACTAAAGTTTTGATGTTTTTGAGTACCCACAACTACCCTCCTCAACTCAAATCAACATTCTCATAGAGAAACCTGGAAGCTAATGACAACTTCTTCGGTAGCCCCTGCTTGCGTTATTTTACTGTTCCAGACTGAACTTAATGATAATGATAAGGTTGATTCTTCTAGATTTGATATTGTAAACCTGAGATCGATCAGAGTGACATTTAATAATGTAACTTTACCCCAACAAGTTTTAGATGAGTCATACGAGTCAGGGAATTTCCTCCATTCTCATAATTACTTGAATTGTATCTCTGATTATTCCAATGGTGAAAAGTTATGTGACCCAGCTCTTGATATGGGAAACTTTAAGGATGAAAATCCAATATTTGTCATTAGATGCTTTAATGAGGAAATAATCAAGTCTGGTCCTTTAGATTTCAAATTGATATTGAATCTCATAAAAATTTCCCTGCAAAAACAACAGCTTCGCCATTTTATTCAATCATGTGAAAGTAACGTATCAAGTTTTGACCAGAATTGTGAAAAAGAATGGCTAAAAACTTGAAAACTTGAAAATTTATAAATATTACTGTAAATGAATGCATGATTTTTTTTTAAAAAAAAAAAATTATTTTTCTTTAAGTTTTTGAGACAAACGTGATATTGACCGATGATTCAAGATTTATTAGAAAAGAAGCTTTGTATTGAATTTCTTTAAAGAAAAAGCTATTTTGTTTTAAGTTAAATTTTAGATTACATTTAATCGATTTCTTAACAAGAGCAGGGAGGAAATAAAAAGAAATTAACTTTCACTCGGAAGAAACTCTTATTTTCAAATAAATACATGACTCACATTCTTACGGACTAAAAGACACACAATCACACGCAATCTTAAGACTATTAGCCTAGCTTAAACTTATGCACTATTACTTACAAGATATATCTCTCTCTCTCTCTCCCTCTCACACAAACCTTATTCTAAGCTTAAGTAAAAGACTCACGCATCCATCTTAATTCATACCATCTTACATCTTTTCTATTTTACATTATTTATACAGTGAGAAAGAGAGACAGAGGAGGGGGAGGGAGAGAGGTTTCAGCTGAGTCTTTAAGCCCTCTTATGATCTTTGTATAAAATAGTCACAGTGCCCAGAGTACAATTCGGATGGTTGTAAATACATGTTTGGGAGAAATTATTTTTCTTTTCACGCAGATTCCAGCCTTTCGAGTTTCAAATTCATAAAGATTTACATTTAAAGATTTGATTGGTCTAATCCTTTTAAGAGTCTTTTGATCTTGTACTATCCATTCCATAAATTCTGAACCCAATCGCTCGAAAATTAAAAGGGATGGAATTTTACGGTGACATATACCATCCTCCCACTTTAGTTGTAAAGTTTTTGACTTTTTTCGGATAGTTAAATCATTGATAAATTGCAATGCGAGTAAATGGAATATGCCGGTTTGAGCACAGCTGTTGCCAGATTGTGCAAATAAATAAATAATTCTTTATCCGTGAAACTTGGCAACACCGCAATACATCCGTTGTCAAATTCATCCGATAAATCCGTGTATATTCTAGCGACTTGACGACGCCGCAATACATCTGTTGCTAAATTTCCAGACAGTCGATTCTGAATTACTGAGCGAAGTTTTAGAAATTGTGCTGAGTAAGGTAACTAAAGTCTCTTCTAATATTTTTATAAGATTTATAGCTCTTTCGTCTGGAATCTTCGTGTGCTCGACAAAATCTCAACGGAAAGACAGCCTGTTGACCGCATCGACACCTGAATGGTTGATTTGGGAACATTGGTATTAAAACTACACTGTTAGCTCATGTTTTTATTTAAATAACTAGTTTTTTTTATTTTTTTAAAAAAAAAAGTTTAAGATCAAACTGTAAAAAAAAAATAAAAAAAATTAGTTATTAAAAAGAAATTAACTTTCACTCGGAAGAAACTCTTATTTTCAAATAAATACATGACTCACATTTTTACGGACTAAAAGACACACAATCACACGCAATCTTAAGACTATCAGCCTAGCTTAAACTTATGGACTATTACTTACAAGATATCTCTATGTATAAAAAAGGAGGATTTCAAAAGATAATAGGGACAGATAATTCTAGGGGGGCTGTAAAGAGTAAAAAAAAAAATAAAAATAGGGAGAGGCAACTACAGGGATTATGAAGATTTAAAACAATTTAAAAATAGAAAAGAGTTTCAAAATCTAATAGGAGGGTGATAAAATAGACTGGGATAGAGAAATGTAAAGAGTGATACACTGACAAAAAAGGATTGCTAATTCACCGATTTAGGGTGGAGCAAAATTTGCTTCACTTCGTAAAGCTTTCTTATCCGTGCACGGTGTTGAATCAAGTGAACGACTAGCACGAATTGCTACACCGATTTGCTACATCTGCGCGCCTTCATGCAGTTAATTTTGCATCGAGTGGCTTGGAAGTGTAACTGCATTTTTTGGTATTGGTACTTTGCAAACAGTAAAAATAGCTCAGTAGTACTAGGCTGAAATAGCGGAATTTACGGAAAAATAGCGAAATTTACGGAAGAATAACTGGAAAGGTAACAGACTTAGCTTTTCAGGGAGCAAAATCACCTACACGCGTGTGTGTAAGTTAGCTGAAATTTGTGTAGTGATTTTACCTGCATGGTTTGCATGTTCGTTTTTTAGCTACACCATGCCATGAAATACCCGCGTGCAAGGCAAATTCAGCAATATTTTTTTCAGTGTAACTTAAAAACTTACCCCGTTAAAAAGTTATCCAAAAAATCTGCCGTTAATATCCAACTTTTAACTGAATGTTGAAAATGATGTAGACACCACAGATATCTTCAGCAGACTGAATAGGGATTTGCTCAAACCGGCATATGCCATCTACTAATTACTAATGCGTATTTTGGATAGAGAGGTTGAAATACCCATGTCTGAATAAAATTTGCCGTTTCATCCATTACAGAAATTTCTTTAAATATGCATTTATGCGAATCAGGAAGCTGGAGTCCCTCTACTGCAATGAAGCACTTACTTTTTTCATTTAAGTAATAAGTCTGAGCAATAAGCAATAATGTTTGAATAGGGGTGTGCTTTATAGGCTCGGGTAATTAGACGATTAAGATGTAAAACTTCTTAATTTTTCAAGGGTAGATCTTATGAAACATGGTAATCCACGTGTTTTGGATCGTGCTTAAGATAAGTCGCAGAGAACTCCTTCGGCCTTAAGGAGGCAGAAAAGAATGAAAATATACTCGAAATTAGATGGTTTTTATCTAACCCTCTGTACATTTTAGATGAAAAACCTGTCAGCAGTCAGATGATCAAAGCTGATGTAAATAATAATGCTTAGTTTTTCCATAAAAAAAAACTCAATTACCTAACTAAGCATTATAATTTACATCAGCTTTGCTCATCTGAATAGTTAGGTAATCTAGCTAGTAAGGTAATTAAGTGCAAATCAGTGAATTAGATGGATTCTTAATGCAGGATTTAAGTTTTGAAGGCTTAAGATATCGTAAATTGCAGCTTCTGAAAGAGAGTATGCAGCAGTATGAGCAAGACACAGCCTTCCCCCTCAGAAGACACAGCATTTTCGCCTTCTCCTTTTATCACTGAAACATACAAAATATAATTTCATGAAAAAAAGATCAGTAGTTAAGTTAAATGCTGTCTGATTGGACGAAAAAAGTTTCCGTTTCATCGAAATGTCTCCATAGTCATTTAATAAAAATGAAAACTTCTTTACGACAAATCAAAGAACGTTTATTTGACCAATGATCTTCTTTTCTTTGAATCATAAATTTTATACACTGGAAAAAAACATGTTGGATTTAGAGTCCAGACTCTTAAAAACATCGACAAGAAAAAAATACTCTTGATTCAATCGGATTTTTTCTTAAATCAAGAACCAAGCCGCGTAATTTGAGCAGATTTCCTTTTGATTTAAGCAAAAATCTGATTGAATCAAGAGTATTTTTTCTTGTCAATGTTTTCAAGAGTCTGAACTCTAGATCCAATGTGTTGTTCTTTCCAGTGTTTGTCCCAAAGATAAAAGACTCAAGTTGATTGATCAATCTAAAAAAAAGTTTTATATTCCTGTAAATATAATGACTCTTTTTAGGGTGACTAGCCAGCGTTGAATACATTTCAAGGGGAGGGTGTTTGCACAATAGGGTTGTGTTAAATGAATCCAACCTAATTCTTATATGCATTAGCTCATGTACAATTACCATGTTTTTTCAAGCATTTTTTCGCCCCTACTATTTTTTTAAGAAATTGACAACCATCATCTTCTATATTAAAATTGTTTTTACTGATATATTTCAAGAGCCAGAGTTTCTTCTGAAACACTTTAACGTAGAAAATATTGAATTGAGCTGATATTTCATGAAAGATTTTTGGAATTCTGTAGTACGGGATATCACCTTCTTCCCACATAAGCCCATGATGGAAGTTGGCTAACCAGCTGTTCTGTTTGAAACATTGAAATTCATTAATCGGTCGCTCAAAGAGAAATGTTTGCTTAACTGACTCATCCAAGGATACTAACCTCGGATCGTAACCTCTTTGAAAAAAAATTCATTTCCATCTGAAAATAGTCATTGGACATCAATGACAGCAGATGATATCACTGGAGCAAAGATGATAGATGATCAGACTCTCTTCCTCCCCTTGTTCTTAAAGCATTCCTATTATCTCGAGGTTTTACAGTGGATTTGTAAGATTTGAAATAAGGTCCGATACAGATGAGATCGTGAGGTTTGCTATTGCTTTTTGCGATGTATTCATCAGTCAGTTTAGCATACTCCTTGGGAAGGTACATGCAGGAGTCTTTCCCTTTCCTTCGAAACCATGCCATTAATTGAACAACGAATCTGGTTTCTCTCTTTTCCATTTTTTGCAAGGGATATCTTTTTCCTAATTTCAGATCCGCACCGCTGACGCGAATGGAAAATTAAGGAACCGGTAACCGTACTTACTCGAAAGAGTTGTGAGATTCAGGGTTTTTTGATGGTACAGTAGTGCCCGGTATTTCAGGGATCGGCAAGACCATATCCTCAAAACTTTGAGACTTGTCGAAAACTGGGGACTGAACAGCCATTTTTATTTTCCTGTGAATGAAAGAAAAAAAACACTAATGTTAGATGGATGACTCATGACGCAGTTCTAAGGAAAATTGGCTGATATGCTTCTACTCATCGTCACTGTCATAGTTTACTATATCACTATGGCCATGCAGGAGGCTTTCAATAGAATTGATCATACATCGTTTGTCATGAGAGGAGCATGCCTTTTTAGAAAGGGTACAACTACAGTATTTTTTACTTTGGATCCTGCGAATTACACAGTCGGTTTCTTGATTTTCGAATAATACAAATTTTATACAATTTTATACTTTTTTATACAAATCTAAATTACAAGCGTAAGCACTAAGCTCGTCTGTATCCCTCTACATTTCATAAAGGATTTCTCTTTCTTATTATCATCATTCGTGCTTTTTGCTAGAAAAGTGTATACATTTTACTCATTAAGCAAACCCCACTTGGATATTATCATGTTAGAGGGACATTCGGCTTTGAATTTGCCTAAAACTTTTTCGTTTTCCCTACTAAAGTTGTATTGATATGGTCTTTCGGAAAGTTGGAAGTATACCATTCCTCATCTTTCAAAATCATTAATATAAACTTCGAGGGATTCCGTTGAATCCCGTTTTGATTTCCGATTGAAGCCATTGAATCACAGCTATCATCCCCTCCCGTGGGACTGCTGGAGGCCCATGCAAACATGGCGACCCTGCCAAATAGTGTCTGTTACGTAACCGACACAGCGTAACCGACACTTGAAAATGTGAAACAAAAGATGATACAAACGATGAAACTCGGCAATTCTTGTGATGTGAGGTGAAATTTATGCTGCCTGAAAAGTTGTCTAAATTTTGGAGACCTTCTGTTAGTTTAATAATATTAAATTGAGAATTTTGTGTAGTACGTAATTAGTGCTACAGACCTAAAAATCACTGGTTTTCATAAAAATTAAAGTTTTCATTGAAGAAAAAGCCGACTTATCAGTAATGGTTTGGTCAAGAAGACTTAAGTGAATAATCTGATGACAATTTTGAACCTCCTGATTTCATCTGGCGAGATAAACACTGCACTCAAAAATACGTTGCCAAATGTGGCTACATTCTTTCTAATGACTTTTCTCGCTTAAAAATAAATATAACAGTTCAAAACGACAATTTTCTTGAACATTAGAGTCTCTTTGCTGCAAATATTGCCAAAGAATCCATGATCAGTACTGATTTACTACCGCAAATTGCTTTTTTGCTTCAAAGTCGGGATTGACGACGCGTGACCGACCGGACATTTCCGGCCTTTAAAGTCTCATATTATAAAATACAATCATAATTCATCATACTTCTTAGCATAGATAAGTTCAGGGACGTCATTTCTATTGATTTACCAACTTGGTTTTTCAATCGTGTTGCCCTAAGTCGTTTATAACCCACGGCGACACAACTATTCCTTTTATCGTGAAATCACCCTTATGAAGGAAAATAATACTGTGTGATTCTTAGCTCTGTCCCTAAAATTACTTTTACTATCCATCCGCTACCCTTAAGTTTAACATCCTAATACTCTTGCAGAATTTTCACATGGAATTTTCCCAATTGCTCGTCTAAATCGGTTCCTGTGAAAAATGCGGTTGCGACTGTTTTAAAAATATACATTTTAGTTTTACTGTCGCTAATTATTTTTGACTCGGTATCCTCAGAGTCTAGCTAGAGGAGGCAATGATGGAATTACAAATTCCGCGTGTAAATAGATATTAGCTTTTACAGAATTCAATCTTAAAATCTCCTCTACAAGTTAAACCTTCAATAAAGGAATTAGATTTTTTAAGTACACTTTCAAATCGAGTAGTTTCTCATCGAAGTTATTTACGAAAAAGTCTTTGCGCGGTTGTTGATAGCTGTTTCAGTTAGTAGTATGGCGGTTTTAGACTCGTACAATTTCTTAAAATGAGGTTCCGAATCATAATGTTTCGGCCCCGCTGAGACTTTACAGATTTTACAGTATAACACATTATCTCCAGTTGAGGATGAAGTAGGCATGATGCTTACTTTTGATGTGAAGTGAGAGAAGCAGTGAGAATTTTGTTGCCTTTCCGTCAGTGATAGGATCAATTCTGTACAGAAAGAATTAAGAGAATTACTGATTTTGCAATAAAAAGTTGAAATTAATTAATTTTTTAAATATTTTCCAACAAGAAAATTAATTTCAAGTATCTCTGTTTGGAAGAATTATATTTAATAACAAACTTTCAATTTTATTTGAAGAATAAGTTCATATTAGATTTCCTAATATTACCACTCTAAGCTTTTTTTCTCAAATTATTCCTTGAGAATGAACAAATCTGAGATAAAAAATATTTATAATATGAAGATCCAGATATTTTTAATGTCTGTGTTGCTCGTTCTCAAGAAATAATTTGAAGGATAAAAATATAAAATTTAAACTGACTAATTATAAAATTGAAAGTAATCCGTTTAGAGGAGTGAAAGTTGTTTAAAACACAGAATATTATCTAGTCAGGAGACTAAATCCAGGCACTTTTCACAAATAGCTTCTGAAGAGGAGAACGAATTGAGCTTACTAACTCCTTGATGATACTGATCAGTATGCAGCCGCCTGCATCTTATCTCCTATAAGTTGAAAACATGTCTGTTCAAAGTACGGGAATGAATACTGCGTGTTGACCACATCCGCACCTGAAAAAATTATTCGCGAACACTTGGTACGAAGAACGACACTGTTGATTCATTTTTTTTTTTTTACTTTAAACTTTAACACTTAATACTTTAATAAAAGAATTTAAAAAGATTAATTATTTAAATGAAAAAGGGGTTTCAAAACCTAATGGGGAGAGATAAATATAGGGACTGTAAAGAGTTAAAACAAATTTAAAATAAAAAAAGAGTTTTACAAAACCTAAGGGGTGATGATACAGACTGGAATGAAGGAATGTAAAGAGAGATGATAGAAAAACTTATAAAACTTACCTCGTTATAAAGTTATCCAAAAAAAAGTAATCTGCTGTTAATATCCAACTGCACTGATCGTTGAAAATGATGGAGCCACCTCAAAGGTCTTCGGCAGACTGAAGAGGGATTCGATTTTTTGATCATGTAACGATATTTCCGTTGGAATTATGGAGGCAGGGATGATTTAAAATCAATGAACTGATGTAATAAATGGCTTTGTGTAGATTCAGTCTTCAGACTCTTTTGTTAATGGAGGGGACGTGGATGCTTGCACGCGTTGCATTTTCGCTCTTGCATTCAGCTATCGAGAACTCATTGTTTCGTTATATTGTATTATATTTGGATTGTCCCTCAAGGCATTCAATTTTAGGTATCAATAAGCCATTTGAAGGGTGTGGCTACACGGTGATATAATTAATACGCGGGAAATAATAAAAAGAGGGTGAGTTCCTCTGCTAGCGGAGAACAGCTGATGAAGAGGGGTTGACTCGTGCACCAGTGGCGTGGCGTGCTTTGCGATATGTCGATCGATCTGCCAGTGAAACCTATGGAAAAGGATCGATAGACAGGGTGTTCGCAACGAAGACCTTAATAATCGATTCTTTACCATAGCTTCAAATAGGGAAATATCGATAGATTATTCACGCCACACCACTGTCGTGCACCCTCGATATGAATAAAAAATCAATATCCACTGATCATTAGACGCATGCTGTCCTGTAACGGATTCTTGATTGGTATATTTGGTATATTGCAGAGCCGCCGTTTGTCGTTAGACATGTACAGATTATAATATCTTACGTTCAATTGTAGAGTAGTCGTTCTGACTGTAGAGGGCCCATTTGAAGGACCAATCACAGCGCGGTAGAGGGTGGCATTCAGTTTAAATATACATTCGAATAGATAGTATAAGTATATGTATTCAATTAACTCATAGAATAATTTAATTTAAATTATAAATTGAAACATATAATTGAAATTGATTCACGTGAATGTGGCTTCTTTTGTTTTAACAGAGCCAGGCCCCTAGTTTTCCCTTGGTTGGGCTTTAATCCCCCGTGCAAGTATTTACTTTTACTCACAATCAGTTTCACAGAGATTCCAATGCTTTTTTGTCACTCTACTCTTCTCTATATTTACACATGTCCACCTTAGGGGGCCACCCTGTCCAGTCCGGCCCTGCGGGTAGGTCAGTCACCCGTCCAACCCAACTTTTTTGCGTCTCACGCCTGTAGGGTCAGTTTGGGTATGACGCAAACGTAGTACATTGCGGTCCTGAATTGGCAGGTTCGGGACTCAAAAAAGTAAGCTTACTCCAATGGAGATGTTGCACGTGTGACCAATTTGCGATTTGACTGTTGATTGTTATGTTAAAGTTAGCGAGAAACACGATGGTCCCACTGGTTTTCTCTGAAATCAACTCCCAAGCTCAAAACAAGCTCGCAAGTTGAGGCCAAAATGGAGGGGATATCCCACCCTACCCTGAGAGTCCACCTCTACATCAAAACAAACTCCACCTTCAATACGTTAGCAGGGTTGCCACTTAATTTGGGGACTCCAAAACTGAAAACGCGGCAACCCTGCTGATGTATTTGCTCCCTATCTTTGCATGGAGAGTTTATTTTGATGTAGATGTGGACTCTCAGGGTAGGCTGGGATATCCCCTCCATTTTGGGCTCAACTTGAGAGCTTCTTTTGAGCTTGGGAGTTGATTTCAGAGAAAACCAGTGACACCATCGTGTTTCTCGCGAACTTTTACATAAGTATCAACAGTCAAATCGCAAATCCCTCACACATGCAACATCTCCATTGAATTACGCATCTTGTATCTCGGACGCAAACCGTTGTTCTACGCAACTGACCCATAGGAGACCACATACTCGGCGTTTTTTCCCCGTTGGAGGAAAACTCGTCGGGAAGAATTAATTTGACTGACCTCGGTGTAAGAAGGTTACGGAAATCATTTCTCCAGCACGCCTCTCGACAGCTGTTGATATTGATCACTTATCAAAGCGTCGAGAGTCGAAGAGACGGAGCCGTGGCCGCCTCCCCCGATTTGTTCCGCGATCCGCGCGCCGTGTTCCACGCTTGTTCCCCGTGTTCCCAAATGGAAACACATGTTCCGTTTACAAGCGCCCCGCGACAGCCCGATATTAGTCAATGAGCCACGGCCTGCTCTGTTCCCGTTGTCTATGCGGGGAGAGAGGCGGAGGCGTTCTTCCCGCGGCGGGCGGGGGGAGGGTGCCTCGTGGATGTGGATTCGCGAGGCTGGGTGGTAGGAGGCAGACGTCGTGTTTTCATGTGAAACTCATTTTTCTTCGCGCCGCAGCGCCGTTCGCAAGCCGTGTAGGCAAACTGTCCACACGGTGCCCCGCAAGTTCTCTGACACTATAATAGATTCAAACCAGAGAACTCTATCAAGGTAGGTGAAACGTACACCGAAAAAAAGTGAAGTTGATTTAAAATTCTAAATGTAAAAAAGTGTGCGAGAACTTATAAAATGTTAAATTACCCGCCACAGCAGTTACTTTAGCAATGCCAAGATGTAAAACTAACTGCTGTGGCAGGCAATGCAGCATTTGATGAGCTCTCGCACACTTTTTTTACATCCAGGATGCTACATCAACTTCACTTTCTTTTTCGGTGCAGGTATCCAACGTGGTTTTTCGTCCCCGCCACCCGAGCTGGAGAGCCAGGGCGCAAAAGTTGAATTTCAAAAATCTTTCAGTTTTTGCCAAAAACAAATATGACCGTTGCTGTTGATACAAATAAAAAATTCAGCGCAGGCCAATTCGGTTAGAATGAAAATGTATTTACCCTTAGTGAAGTTGATATTTGCTAATTTTTATCAACAGCAGAAGGTCATAGTCGCATTCGGCCAAGACTGCAAAATTGCTGAAATAGGTCAACTGCCCTGGAAAAAAAAGAATCTTAAATTTGCCGCCAAGAAGTATTTCTTCTTAAATCAGGAATTTTTCTGGTTAATATAAGCTACTTTTTTGCTTAACCCAAGCATTATTTTTCTTGAATCAAGAAAAAGTCAGCTTAAAGCAAGCTAAAGAAAATTCTTGGCGGCAAATTCAAGAATTATCATGCTTGATCCAAGCTACTTTTTTTTCAGTGCGCGCTGATCACATAACTGTGTTTTGATACTTGATTCTTGTAGGTTCGCTAAAAATAATAAGATATGTCCAAACAGCAACTTCCTACGTTCAATATTAATCGAGATATCGCCCTTTGAAAAGTCGGGGTTTTCCCGGCATCCGCCGTGGTAGTGGCACCTTTGGTTTATTCCACCTTGCTTTCATTCGAGTTTCACGTTTAGTAACCAGGCTAATGTGCGTCACGTGGACTAATGAAAGAAAGGTGGAAGCAACCAAACGTGTTACTACCGCGGTGGATGAGGTGTCAAAAACCCGACTTTTTAGAGGGCGATATATCGGTCAATACTGATCGCAGAGGGTTACTGTTTGCTCAGATCTTATTATTTTTAGCTAAACTTCAAAAATCAAGCATCAGCACACGATTCTGTGACCAGCGCAACCCATTGGTGTTTTAAAGCTGAGTCAGAAAGAATACATAGTTCCCTATTGCAAAATACAGCCCAGTCCATCATCAATGGATTTCACACTTGGACTAGATTTTGCAATAGGGAACTATAGTTTTGGTTCATTCATTAAAGCACCTATCTGCGCAGGGAATCCAATGACACATATTCTGTTTCTAAAATGCGCCAAAATAATAATTCTGCATTGCAAAATCTAGTCCATTTGTGTGTTAATTTCACTTGTTTCATCAATCAAGTTGGATCTGACTCATTCTAATGAAAATACATATTCCGTTTGACTAGTGGTTTCCGGAACATACATCATATAATCGTCATATTTTTCAAAGGAGATTCAATTATCTTCTGCACAGAATCGAAAACGAGAGAAGAATTGAAACGAAGCATTGACTTCCATGGTAAAAGATTAATTTTATTTTATTTATTTTATTCCGAAAGCCGTCCTTGATAATCCGAAAAGAAGATGACAAAACTTTTGAGGCGTAATGTGCTGCTCTGCAAATACACTTGTCACACGATTTCAAGAGGCTGCATGAATGGATCTTGCGATTCTCCCAGGTACCTCTTCGCGCAGGCGCGGT